GTGAAATTTAATCAAGCATTGGCAGATTTCTCACAATCTATTAATCCGCATTTAATTGATGGAATAGTTTTGACCAAGTTTGACACCATTGATGATAAAGTAAGTTTAGCTTTTATAATAAATTTTATATATTCAATGTTTAAAATTTTATTGAAATAAATTTTACATTAAAATTGTAATTTTTAGGTTGGTGCAGCAATTTCAATGACATACATTACAGGACAACCTATTGTATTCGTTGGTACTGGTCAAACTTATACCGATTTAAAAAGTTTGAACGCTAAATCTGTTGTTTCCGCTCTTATGAAATAGTATTGTCTGAAGAGTAAATTGAAAATATTCATATTAATCACATAAATACTAGTATTTTGATTTTCACATTTACTGTTATAATCTATCTATTTAATAATTATTTTGTATTTTTTTTTTTTTTTTCATTTATGTTAAATTTACTCAGTAAAATAACTATACAAAGATATACACATATATATTTTCAAAAATTTTTACTCAGTAATTTTTATCGACAAAAAAAATTAAATAAAAATTTATATCACTGCTATACAATTTTACAAATATTTTTTTAATTTTAAATTTTCAAAACAAGTGTATTAAACAATATTTAATAAAGTATTTAATTTTTTGCTATTTAAACCCCATCATATTAATAATTAGCAGTTTATTTTTTATTAGTCAATTTAAAAAAAAAAACAAATCAAATTTGAAAATATGGGGTTATAATGAAAATCAGAGATTTAAATAAATAAATAAATGAATGAAAGTGAAAAAAGAAAATGCAAGTATATAGTTGCCATAAACTTTGTAAATTGCACTGAAAATGATATAAATAATATGAATTATAAAAAATTATTGGTTAAAGTAATATGATTTGCTTATAATTATTTAGTAGTTTAGTATGTTTATTTTTTTAAGAGCAATTTATAATATATACAAATGTTTTTTTTTACTTAGGGAACATTAAAATTTTATTACTCGGTTTTGGGTTTGTAAATATTTTTCAATAAAGTTTATTTTATTAATAAAAATTTTGTTATCCCAAACGACTCACATAAACAAAAAATTGTTTTTTTTTTGTGTTTTTTTCAAATGCTAACGAAATAATATTGAATTCATCAGGTTATATTTACATATAAATACATATTTTATTGAAGTAAAAAAAATTACATTTTATTTTATTATTTTCTAAAAAAGTTTTAATTTAATCTTTTAGCAATATCAACACTATGCACCTTATAAACAAACTATTGTATATATGTAAAAACTAATCATTATTATTATTATTATAAGTTTTAATTAAAATATTAATATTAAAAAATATGAGAGATAGATAAAAAACTTGTTTAAATTTCACTTTTTTTTTTATAAAATCCTAATATTAAACTCATTAGTTTTGTGTTTCAAAAATTTCTTTTAGTTTTATTTTTATTATAAATTGTTTCGTTAATCTTATTGTCTAATGTCACGTTTAGTAATCTAAGGTATTTTGCGGTTTCATTAAAAGTAACCGAAATCATGATCTATTACAAAAAATATAAATATGGAAAATTCATTTCATAGTCAATTTAAATTTTATAAAAAGAAAAAAGGAGAATTAAATTTAGATAATGTAATTGATTTCAACAATTTGGAACGAAACGAACATTATAAAAAAGTACAGTTTGATTACTGACATTTTTTTATATATTACTTTTTGTATATTTTTATTTAATACATTTGTCAGATTTTTTTTAGTAACTTAATTATAAAGTAGAAGTATTTTGATAATAATAATAATAAAAAAAGAAAGTTTCTGTTATAATAATTTAAAGACATATTTTTAACTTTTTGTCTTTTTTTTTTTTTTTTAGGAAGGAATCAAAAAATTTGTTTGCAACAGTTCATTTGGTGAATGGGAAGAATCATTCGGAATGAAAAAAAAATCTGATTGGGATGCTTATGAAATTCTCAGCAAACCAGGTAAGCGAAAAACCAATTTGTAAAAAATTAATTTACTTAGTTTAGACTTGAAGTGTAATTTTTATTAATAATATTTAATTCTTTATATTTATTTATCTAATTTATGAATTTTATATTCAATTTTTTTCAGGTTTATTTTTTATTAAAAATCCATTTAAATTTATTGGACAAAGATACTGGATCATTAGATGTTTGGAATATTATACAAGAAAACCTAACAAACTAAATATTGATATTCATAATATATTAACTGAAGAAGATGACTGGTGGAGTTATTGTAAAAAGTAATGCAATTACCTTTCCAGTGAAAAAAAAATAAAAATCTAATAAACAGAATAATATCTGGTTTAATATAAAAAAAATTTTGTTTTAGAAACTTCAATACAGCAAATGGTAAATTAGTTCTCGACAAATTAAGATGGGTAACTTTTGGCTATCATCATAATTGGGACACCAAGGTAAATATTATTATAAATATAATTTTTTTTATATATTTAGTTCAGAATTTTTATAGTTTTATTAATTTCTAAAATTTCATTTTTTTAAAGGTATATAGTGAGTCATCAAAGAGCAGCTTTCCTGAAGATTTAAATTTGCTTTGTAATCATTTTGCAAATAATTTTTTTTTTGAAGGTTTCAATGCAGAAGCTGCAATCGTTAATATGTATCATTTAAATTCAACTTTATCAGGTCACACTGATACCTCTGAATTGAACATAAATGCTCCATTGTTTTCATTCAGGTACTCTAAATTAAAGATTTTTTTCTCAAAAAAACAAAATTATGTATTGGATTTTATAAAATCTTTTTTTTTTTTTTTTATTTTGTAGTTTTGGGCAGTCTGCTATTTTCTTAATTGGTGGGAAATTTATTAACGATAGTGCACTTCCGATTTTAGTGGAAAGTGGAGATGTTTTAATCATGTCAGGTGAGTCCAGGTTATTTTATCATGGTGTACCTAGAATTTTACCCGCAATGTCACAGGTTTGGAATTCCAAAAATGACTCTGACCTTAAAATAAATAATAAGCATTTTATTAAAGAAATTGTCGATAAGTTGTCAGATGATGTAGAATGGGAACCATTTAATTCTTATATCAATAGGGCAAGAATTAATATGAATGTTAGACAGGTATTACTTCCAGGGCAAAGTAAATTATGCGATTAATTAATGTTTATTTTAATTAAGGACTTGTCCAAACTATAAATATTTCAATCTTTATAAAAAATAACCAAAGAATTATTATTATTCTTTGATAAAAAAATACATTAAGTTATTTATGGAGAATGTTTTTTGTTATGTTTAATTGCTTAATAAATTAAATTATATATTTTATGTTAAATAATATATTATAAAAATAACTTTTTCCGCCTTTTGTAACAATAATGTTGGAATAATTTATCAATTCATATTTATGATAATAATATAGTAACGATTAACGGATCAATTAGTTCGCTTTGTAAAATTTACCTCTATGGTATTTATTTCCGTTTATTATATAAGTAATATTAATCGTAAAAATCGTTAGAAATCGAGTTAAAATTGTAATTAATATTTTTTATATAATTTTTACTATGAGTTAAAAGATATGTCCCCTCACGATAATATAGTTAAGTTTATTAATTCATATGTAAGCGAAAACAATTTGGATGAGGTTATGAAAAATGAAATACCCAGAAAGTGGGAGAAATATGGAGATTTTGTTCTTTTCGATCAGAGAACGTTTGAAAGTAATGTTTTGAAATGTCAAGGAGAAACATTTTGGAAAAAAATTGCTGAAATTTTAAAATGTAAACGATTAGCTGTAAAAAATAAGATTAAAAATGACGGGTACAGAACTCCAAACGTTACGTTATTACTTGGAAATGACCCATGGATAATGTACAAAGACAATAATATATTATATACGTGGAACGTTGAAAAAAGCATGTTTTCAGCTGGAAATGTAACTGAAAGACATAGAATAGCGTTATTTAATTGTGATAATGAGGTTGTCATTGATCTATTTGCTGGCATCGGTTATTTTACATTGCCTTACATAGTTCATGCAAAAGCAAAATTTGTTTATGCTTGCGAATGGAATCCAGTTGCTGTTGAAGCTCTTAGACGAAATTTGGAACTAAATAAAATATCGTATAAATGTATTATTTTAGAAGGAGATAATAATTTGTTGTGCCCGAAAAAAAAAGGAAATAGAATCAATTTAGGTTTGATTCCCACTTCTAGCAGTCATTGGAAAATTGCTTGCGAAGCTTTGGTAGAAGATGG